TCTCCCTGATGGTCGCTACACTAGGTGGGCGTTCAGGAGAGGGATATAGATGCCGTTCATGCGGAGGTGGTTCAAACAAATCCGGGCCATTGTTGGGCTCATCAAGTGTGTTCCGACAGTTCCAACAACTTCCTCGACCAGAAACATTTTGGTTTCCACAAACAGGGCAATATACAACGTTCAACGGAGAAGCACTAGCTACGCTTGGGGCACGGCCACCTAGCTCCGATGCAGTGTCAAAGAGTCTGCCTACGTTTGGGGAGGACCTCAAGGCATCAAGTTCTTGCAAGAGCTGTTCAATCCTCTCATCTTTCTCGGCCATGACTCTCTCTGCTTGTTGTCTCATGTGCTCTGTGCTCAACAGTGTGGCTTGTTGCGATGCTTGCATGTGCATTGCTGCTTGTTCGCGGACTCGTTGCACTTCTCTATTTGCTTGCTCAGCCACCTGTGTGGCTTGCTCTATTGCTCGCGCATGCGCTTGTGCAGAGTCTTGTGCGATGATCAGGTCCCTCTGGGCCTGTTCTGCCAAATTCTGTTGTCTGAGCACCTCTTGCTGGGCTTCCCGAGTTACTTGTGACACCCTCTGTTGGGCTTCCGACGATATTGCCTCCTGTTGCTGCTGTATGGAAGTGTGGTACTGTTGCTGTAGTTGTTGTGTGTACTGCTGTCTCTCAACCGACACCTGCATGGCAACCTTCTCTCTCTCAGCCTGGACGTAATCTTGGACAAGCTGCTCAAGGACGTGAGGTGGAATGTTACTCTGATTGAGGACATTCAAAGTACGATGATCATGCAAATGCACCTCTGGCCCTTGTCGGGGTTCGCCATGTTCTGGGGGTTCCTCCACCACTGGGACAGCACTGGACCTGCCCCTCCCCTTCTGAACCATCTGTCCCCCCGGCAATGCCAAGTTGCTTGAACTCGACGGATCCGGATTCTCCATGCTCTTGTCTGGGGAATCCTGGGGCGGAGATGAAGATGAAGTGGTGTAAGCGCTATCCCCTGGGCCAACGACCCTGAAAGGTGTGGCTGGAGTGATCCTCTTCATTCAACTCCGACGATAATCAACTCTTCAATGCAAGTTCTATGAATCTTCTCTCAATCAACTGAGCAATGTTCAAAAAAAACAAGAATACACAAGAAAGCTCGACTATCACTCAACACAAAGCTCACCAACACGAACCGCACTTTTGTTGCTTTACGCGGAGCTGTGTCCGCGAATTTGATGCTCGTCACGCGCAAAAGGCAGCGAATTTTCGACGATCGCGCGAGGCGCGACGCAACTCAATGCAGCTGAACTCAAGTCAGCCAACGATCCACAACTGGCAATGCTTTCGTCCAACTAAATGAACAATGCTCAACTGATTCGAGATCCTCAATGCACCAAGCTCTTCTCAAAGATCACGCAGGTCCTCCGGCACCGGCACCGATCTCATGTCCTTGCCAAACTCTTGGATGAGATCGTACAACTCTGCCAATGCGTTCTGCGGAGTGCTGCCTGCACGGATGGTCCTGGTTCGATGAGCTCTCGGGCGACGCGACTGAACCTGCAACACTTCTCTCAAAAGCTGAGGCTGGTCGTCAATGTAAATGATCGCTCCAGACAATGCTACAAGCTTCGCCTTCGAATGAAAGTGCCCTGTCACCGACCTTCCGTGGTACTCATCTGCTAGCAGTTTCTGGCGTGTGATGATCTTGTCCGCAAAAACAATGCCGGCCTCCTCTTCGATCCGTGCTAGATCTGCCAATGTATCCTTCTGGGTCTTGACGTTCGATGCAAACGACACAACGATCAACTGGAATCCTAGGGATCGAGCTTCTCGGAGGCACGCAATGCTGCTGTGCGACAACGGTTGACCTGGGAATCTCAACGTCTTGTGATAATCTAGTGCTATCACAGGAGCCCTTCCGTACGTGGGGTCAAGAGGCTTTGGCAGCTCTCCCTCACGCTCGATCACCGGGCGCTCCGCCTCTGGATGAGGCTCTCTGTGGGATGCAGACGAAGATGGCAATGGCGAAGGAGGTCTCGGGGGTGTCGGCACTCGCACCTCAGGTGAACCCTTGGGTCGCGGCTGCAGCCTCACCGGTCGCACCGGTTGTGTAAGCTGTGGCCTCTCTGCGGCCTGATCTTCAATCGCAAGCGGGGCCTCTGCTGGCCGTGGAACCGATGCAGCTCTGGGCTCAACAGGTGGAGTGCGATGTCGGACTGGTGGCAACGGCGGGCGAGGTAGAGCTTCAAGCTTCTGCTTCTTTCGATCCGTCGGTGCCGCCTCTACTGACTCCCTTCGCCCCTTCGACTTTGCAAATGCCTGAGTCCTTGCTTCTGTCTGAGGTGACAGCGACGATTCCGGCGGCGAGGTAGTCGATGACGGCCTCGATCTCGTGCCCCTGAGTTCCTTGGCCTGTTCCTTCAAATGCTTGGCCCCCTCTCTGAGAATTCGCCTTGCCTGTCGGCGGGATTCCGGCGTGGATTCCTCAGGGGTCTCAGGGGTCGGCGCAGCCTCAGTCTCGGCTGGCTCGGTTGGCGGAACGGTCTGCTCCTCCTCGACCTGCTCAACCCTTACCTCGACAAAATCCGACGCTTCACCGCGACCTGTGACACGCGATTGCTCCTCCCTCTCTTCCGTCTCGCAATCAACACGCTCAACCGACGGAGAAGCACGCGATACAACTTCAGGTGGAGATTCAACGGGCCTCCAATGCTCAGGTCCGGCAAGATCTCTCGGATCAGGATCTGGAATCCACACCCACGCCTTCTTCCAGTAGCCACCCCGCGTAGGCGGGTCCGCAACCGGAGGTCCCGACGATGGGGCTGATCCTGCTCCTTCTTCCAACTCCTCGGACTCTTCGTGCTCGGCCTCCTCACGCTCCTCAGCAACAACACGCCTCGGGAGACTTCTATGAGACACAGTTTCTGTGACTCCAGGCGGTGGCCCGTGGGGCAATCTTGGAGGTCGCCTCGGGCTTGAAGATGTCTCAACGGAAGGCGGATTCGCCGGCTCACGCGGTTGTCGACGATCTGGAGGTGGACCCGACGGCTCAACTGGCCTTGAACGAGTGTAGTACTTCGACTCCGGCGGTGGCGAAGAACCTCTGGTCCGATGTTCCACCTGCAACCCAACACGCTCACGATACCTCTGAGAGGGGCGATACGGGTCTCCGCCCCTAGCCCTTCTCTCACGTGGTCGTGACCGATCAGCAACCGATCGCGAGCGGTCCATTCGCGCGGAGGCGCGATCAAGGGAGCACTAAAGTGTAGTTGTACTTGGTCTTGATCAATCACACAACTATGTCCTTGGCCTACAAGACAATGAGTTGATCTCTCAGTGCACTCTCTGGTCTCTCTCTGTTCACGCGATCCCGCAGCTCAGGGTGTCTCTGCTGCGGCTGATAACCAGTAGATTCTTAGATCAATGTATATATGCTTCCAAATGTGAGCAATGTACAGCAAAAGTCACGATACGATGCAACGAGCGATCGAACCCAAGCTGCCGCACAAGTTTCCTCTCACACTTGAGCCAAACGAAGTTTGTGTTTGACTTCTGTCTCTGATGTCTATACAGCAGTGCTTTCACTCAAGGTTACGTGTAACGGTATGGCATTGTTGCCACTGCTATTCCAGAATGCCATTGCAAACTGCAATGCAATGCTTACATACAGCATCAATTTCCAATGCTACCAAGCAAGGGGAAAAGCTGGTAGCCAATGCTATCTCTCACATGTTACAAACCATGGTTCTAACCGAGGGTGGTTTTCTTTAGCTCAATCTATATTTGGTAACTGATTGGATGATCCAGGTATCTTTATGGGTGTGTGATGGTGGGGGTGTGTGTAGTCTAGGGCAAAGCCCGATTTGGTTCAATTCCTCCGTCCGGTCCGAGCCCTGCGGGGCTCTAACCACCCGAACCTGAGGATATGGTTGGACTGTATAACTCTTTGGTGCCGAAAGAGGCCGAATGTCCTGGTCAGCCAGTGGATACTGGAGGTTACCAATTGATACTGTGATACAAGCTTAGTATGTTTCTATGGTGTTCAGCAAGATCGACCGTTTGGCTACCGTACGTCGCTGTATTTGATAGTAATTCATTTCATGTCCTAGATGTCAGATCCAGTTGGATCAAATATGGCCTTCAAGAAGAGCATTGAAACAATGTTGCAATTATTAGTCTATTCTTTGAACCTGAAACAACCTAAGAGGTTGTGTAAGCAGCGCACCAAATTCATAGCTATTCATGATTATATACTCCCCAAAAAGGGCTCCCACTTTCTAAGGTGGCACTGGACCACCGGGTGCCGGGGGATACACAGAGTTTGGTCACCAACTCAGTTCGATCGACTCGTCTCCCACGCCACGGGCGGTCGTTTTCCTGCGAAGCAACGGGTTGTGTCACGTGGAACGCACGAGTTCGACCAGCGTTACGGCCATGTAAGGCCTTACTAAGGCCATGTAAGGCGTGGGTTGCTGAGTGCAGGTACAGCATTTGGTACCCGACTCCTCAGCGAGATGGGCATCATGGATCGGATCTGAGTACCTTTTTTAGGTCTTGAATCCATTCCAAAACACTCCATGTAGGCCATATATATGTCTACATTGACCCCCAAACACACCACCCCAACGGCCGTTTCGGACTGGCCGTCCGTCCTGGCAGTCCCAGACGTGTCGTGTCTTTGTATCTGATATTGATATTTCGGTGGTTGCAGTGCTTATCAGCCACACCCAGTTTGATGATCCTGGTTGCTGCTCCGCTGCTGTCCACAAGTCCGTCGCTGTGTGGCTGATGTCGCCAGTCACCCAGTACCAGTTCTTGAACCGACGAAAACTGCAGTAGAGTACCTTCAATATGAACAAACAAGTATCCCTACACCTCCAACTACTTCCTGAGAAAATGGACAGGGTGGGTGCCAGGGGGGTCTTACCACCTGCTGAGGATATGGGCCAGCAGCCCTAGGGTATATATACACTCCCCTGGAGCTAACATGGAAGTGGAACATGACCCCGAGTTTGGAAGACCATGAAATCCTCTACAATCAGAGGGTGAACTCATGTGAACTCCATTTCCTCCAAGATCCACAAAAAACAGCCAGCTGGCAGTTGCGATCTCAGTTCCACGCCCGGTCGCCAAGGTTCGATCACGCTCGATCACGTGAGGCGAAACGCCAACCTTCAGACCATGAAGCCCCCTCTCCAAAAAACTCATGGCTCGCGCTTCCGCGAGGCGTTTCACGCGAGGCGTTTCACGCGAGGCGAAACGCCAGCCTCCACACCACGGTGTTCGTCCGCCGCGTCCTGGCCGCGCGCGTGGAGGACATGGCCCCCGACGTGGCATCCAGTGGATCTGTACAACGCCGGGGCTGGGGATCGGCCATACGGATTGGCGGACGGCAGGTGGGACTGAGGATGAGCAGGGGAGCGGTACCAGGTGGAGCGGATCCTAGTGGTCCTAGTTGCTTGCGCTTGTCGGTCGGACACGGTGATCAACCAGATTTGTTCAACTCAATCAACAAAGAGCTTCATATACCCGACCAACACCTGCCCAGAAAAAAAAGAAACGACCAACATGGAATCCCGGAAGCGGAAGAGAACCAAATGGTATAGGCAGCATGTATAGGAATCATGTCTTCCAGCACCGTAGTTCTTGGCCTGGAAGTCCCAGGAACAGGACATGTGTTGTGATCCGGATCTCAAGCGGCATTCAATTGCAATCTTGGAAATTGAAACAACCACCCTTGTTTCTGGTTCTAGAACCACGGGTGTTGATGTTTCTGAACACTCCTTCTTTGCAAAGAACGTCGTTCCTCGATGGGAACTGACGCAAGGGCTTGCGAAAGGGGCCCCAGTTCCCCAGTTCTGGTGCTGCTATTCATGCAATGACGTCTGCTGTCACATCCGAGTTTAGTCCTTCTGTGTCATCTCAATGTGGATTCATGGCCACACCTGCAGCTGATTCGAGCTGAGCACTGCTCAAGCAGTTTCAGACGCCGTTCATCAGCCACCACTCTACACAGGCCGACGCAGCGCGGATGCCCCGCCGGCGATGGTCATCCCACGGTATGCAGTGGGCTGTTTCCCAACAGTGACCCATAGCTGAGGCTCAAAAAAGAAGCACTTGGACTTTGGTCATTTCCAAGGATGAGATAAAGCATGCACATGTATTTCAAGCTCTATATAGATCAAAATTCGAATGACCTTATAACACATCTCTATTTACTATAAATATTTACATAGAGTATAGCTCTATAGGATGATCAATTCCTGGTTCCTCTTTCACGTGGCAACTGGGAATCACTGCTTCACGCCCGCGGCAGGCCGCTGTCCACGGAATGCCACAGGGTCTGCCGCGGTCTGCCTGTCTCTCCTGTCACGCGGCAGAATTGGGAATATTGACCTACAACCAGACCCCTGAAATCAAACCAACCATGTTAAAACAGGTCAAGACCATGTCAGTCCCATGTGTTTTAAGACCTGGAAGACACATGAATATGGTCACTCACAGCCGGACAGAGTACTCAAACAGTGATCCATCCTCATCGTTCCTCTTCGCCCTCGTGCAAATTCAGTCAGTCGATTCATCCGAAGTCGAAGGCAGAAAAGAATCAACATCCCCAGATGCTCCGTGGGTTCACAGCTCGACTGGTCCCGAACCAAACCCGGATTGGTTCGAAGGTCCGGCCCCTATAGGTAGGGGTCCGGCCGGGTCGCGAACCTAGACGTCGACGCAATGGACCTGGGGACACCCCTCCTTGGACGAACCATGCTTCTACCTCCCCTGCACATGAAACCGACTCGGGATCTCCAGCCATGGTCGGATGGTCGGACCCGGTCCTGCAGCTCTGGTCATTGCTGAGAAACCGAAGTGACGAGAGGTGAGATGATGTGAAGCAGAGAAGGCAAGCCGGATGGCGCCCGATGACTGGGCGAAGTGACCGTCGGGTCACCCAGAAAGCACTGGACGGTCGCGAACATCCGTGGTTCCAGGCTTGGGCTTGGGGTACCTAAACACTGCGGTTTAGACATCGACGGAGGTCTCAAATGTGGAAAGCAACGTTTGGGGCTGAGAGGGAAGCTACTCACCTCGAAAGAGGACCATCCCCACCTGGACCCGAGCAAACAGGGGTGTCCACCCCTGTCGATCCCAGATAGTAGTGGGCTGGGTGGTCGAGTCAGGTGACCAAAACAGGATGGTACTGTTCCCCTATGGCTCCAAGGACCTTCTGAGAAGGTGTTTAGGGTGGGTTTAGAGGGTCCAAATACCTTCTGAGGAGGTACTTGGAGCCCTAGGGTTCATGTTGCGTGCGTCATCCCAAAAACACCCTCCTTCACCCAGCGCCGAGCCGAACCGCCATCTGCCCAAGCCAGAGACCCCGGCTCCGGGGCGGAGGTCAACGGCAAAGAGATAGCGTAGCAACATGGCAAAATAGCTACCAACTGAATATCTGAACATGGAAGCTTGCGAATCGTGGGAGATCTTCCCGATCTCTGAAACATGTGGTTCGGGAATAAAAATCATTGATTGACGATATCACCTTCACAAGAATGAATAAGAACTATCTCTGGACCTTCTTAAAGGGATGCCGGATGCTCCCGCTCACCCGGCGCAATGGACTCCGCCCGCCTTCGGGAAGCGTCACCACCAGCTGCGTCGCGCCGGCTCCGGCGCCTCATCTCTTCAGCGTCCGGGGAGGAAGACAGAGAGATGAGAAAGAACATGTGAGCTACGGATGTAACAAGTGCATGTTAACTATATAGTAGCAAGGAGCTACTATAGTTAACATGTTTCAGGGACTATGGAAGGGATATCTGAAGAGCTAGTAGTCATGCACTTTTTTTCCAGTAGCAACGCACTTGCTTTTTCAGGGATCCAAACAATTCCAAACACAATTGTTCAGGATCAATATTGCAATATCTTCATGAACTGCTGTGCATTTACAGAAATGTGGGGACTTCACCCTCGCATCAATCCAGCGAGCTGGTAGGGCCCTCGCAGTCAGATTCCGTGCCAACAACCCTAGCCAAGTGAGACTATCCCAGTTGGGTACCTCCAGGCATCCCGGGTCCTATTTTTTATATCCTCTCCGGGTGAGGTCGAACACCGTTGCTCTCTCCGAGCTCGGCAGGTTCTGACAATCTCTTGGATGCTGGAAGGCAGGGTGCTGGAGGGCTTTCCCGTGCTCTTGATGTTTGAGCCACAAAGAGCAAAAGGAGAAAACTGGAAACGACACCGGATCATGTGAGGGCTCCATCTTACTCAAATTTGCTAACATAGACACAGCAATATAGTATGTTCCCAGCATTGAACAGCAGGCATATGTAGGCAGCGGCATGGCTGGATCTGGAGACCTTGGAGGCTCACTGCCTTCGGCTTGCAACAACTGAATATCATACACCCTCAGTGCTGACGCCCTTGGGACGCCCACGGGCATGAAGAGCGTCTGACAGGCTCCCTGGATGTCCTGGCTGAGTTGTCCGGGGTTGTCCTCTTTTGAATCTCAACGTCTCTGACGGTCTATATACAATCCCTACCATCCTGGAGGACCCCCCCATTTGCAGAGCATTAAGGGAGTGGGGACATACAATAAATAGTATACCTGGACATACCTGGACCATCCTGTCTGGGTGTCCAATGGAAGTCGGTAGGCCGGGTAGTCCATGTCGAGCCAGGTGACCCAGTGTCCTGGGCTGGTCCCAGACTGGGCTGACCCCCCAGTCGTTTCGACCCCCCTGGTCGCTTCGTAAAAAATAAGACCAGTCTAGAACAGCTTGTCGGGTGCGCAGGGTTCCTGGATTGCAGGGTATCGCCCAGAACATCAGACCGTTAAGCTGTGAAGTTCCCCAAACATCCGACCGTTCCCAAAGTTCCTTCAGACCTCTGCAGAGCGAACGAAGACAGGATCCGCAACGGTAGGGACAGATCTGGTCGATGTTTGTTCAGGCCTGCTCTCACTGCAGTGAATCGGTAGGGCAAGAATGCCATTCTGCTTTTTTGGGGGGGCTGGGGGTGACTGCAGAGTTTTCCAGCCAGGACAACCCATCAAACAGGCTATACTGGCAACTATAGTGTGTTTTCCCACATGTTGGCCGCATTGACCCCGACCGCCGCATCAACTCGGTCGTGGTGCGCTCTGGCGCGCCCGCTCAGCGAGCTCAGCTCGGAACTCGCGCAATACGCCGCGACACGTCCGACGTCGGCTGAGTCGCTCGGCCTGGCGAAAAAGAAAGGCCAGGAGCAGAAGGAAGTTCCCATGGGCCACCCAAACCTCGGACGAAGAAAGAATGGGATGATAACCGTGAAGAAGAGCTCAGGCGTAAGAAGGCGATCGTATACGAGGGCACTACTACGTAGATGGCGTAAGTATCCCTTTCGTTTCAGTTCTGTTCCAATCGTTTCCTTTTTGTCCTCAGGGCAATCTGTGGGTCAATATGAAGCACATGATGCAGGTGACGGGCTGCAGAAAAAGTTATAAACCAGTTCAGGTCATCAAACTACGCCCCACCTCTTCGCCCAGCTCGGCACAGGCCAAGCGCCCCAGCTACCTCCCTAGATCTGAACTAGCAGCATGGCCATGACAACTGAAGGTCCATCCATGCGTCTAGTGACAAGGACCCCGGGACCCCGTGGCCGTGCCACAAGATCGTAGTGAACAAGATCAGTATGTCACACCCGACATAGGGCTCCAGTACCACCGAACCTCAACGAAGGTACGACTGGAGCCCTTTTTGGGGCAGGGGGTCTGTGGCGGCACATGGCCACCGGTTAGCTCTTTGTGAATCAAACAAGCACGCAGGAGAAAACCGCTTGGTGCTCCTCCTTTTAATTCGACCAAGAGAACCAGAAAGTAGCGGCTCATGAGTAGAATCTAATGCTTGTATAGGATCTTATAGGAATGTATTGGGGATGGTCATGGTCGGCCTCCCCTTTGCCCTTGACAGGCTAAAGGAACCAAGGGGGGCCGACACACACACACACACACCATAGACTATAGAGTTTGTCAAATCCTCACATGATGAAAACAAAAGAAGAAAGACCAAAGCGGGTCATCAAAACAAAGATAGTTCTCGGGTTTGGTCTTTTTGTTCAATGCTGTGGCGATGCTGAAGTCAGGTCACCCACATGTTCTCAGCTCAACTGTGATCCAAATATCGCGAGTGACTCCAGTGACTCCTGTTTCTGGCAAGAAGCTGACCATTGTTGGTAGCAATTCATCTGCTTCACACTGGGGTCCAAGTTCATCACCAGGTAAATGCCTGGAACGTTGGGACGCCATTCACGCTCACGAGAGTTGAGAGTTGATTACACGCCAACCATAGTTTGTGGAAAGATGATGACCGTATTCGTGGACAGTTCTAATTATATGTATGCATCTTGTATGGGCAATGGGCATGTACTCTTTGTCTTTCCAATCATGGTTCACATGAACTGTCACAAATTGTCAAGAGAGCACACCACACAAACAACTCAAACATGTCCCTGGGGCTCCAAGTAGCCTCTCTGAAGGTATTTGGACCCTCTAAACCAACCAAAAACACCTTCTTAGCAGTGCTTGGAGCCCTATAGGGTTTATATGGGGGTTGTCCAACAAAGCTCTTCTTTTTGAGCTTGTATCGCCGGCCTTTCGCGAGCCTTTCGCGTTTGCAGAAAAACCACAGGTTTTCCTTTCGCGCATTGTGATGAGCTTGTTCCATTGCACTGAGTTCACAGTGTTTGGGACATCTATATAAATCCCTTTTAGTGCGCTGAGAAGCAGGCTAATTACCCTTTGTCAATTCATACTTGAAACAAAGGTTTCAAGGCTGATTTCAAGGCCATGGATGGGCAAATGCCCTTCCAGGCAATGCGCTCTTTCGCGGGCCTACCGCCGGCCTTTTGCAGCCCTTTCGCGAAAATTCGTGTTTCTGTTCGGGAAAAAGGATGTGTCATGTATTGTGGACATTGTATGTAAGTCTAGGTTGGCACATGTCTTTCGCTGTCCTATCGCCGGCTGTTTGTTTTAACAGTTGATCGAAATTCCTTCACTGGCCCTCATATGGGCGTATGTGTTTGCAGTTTTCAGGGCTTGACATGTGTTTCTATATACTAAAGACTCATGAATTCAACAAGAATACCAAGCTATGCTTGCCCAGTGGACGACGCTTTAGAGCCACCCTTTTTGCTTGCCATGCGACAGCTATTGTTCGTTCGTTCGTTCTCTCGTGCTCGCCATTCAATGGACCTTCTGGACCTGGTGTCGACCTCCGTGGTTTCATCTTCACGGACGACCAAAGGCTCTCAGAGACCATGACCTCCTAACTAAGTGACATGGGTTAGGCATCTAGCTTCATGTCAGTTTCAGTCAGTCTCACCGTACATGTCGCACCACCCGTTTCAACCCCTTCCACGCAAGGCGCTCCTTCAGAAAAGACCCCCGGCGGCCGAGCGGCAAAGAAAGTGAGCGGTGACCAGTTGTCGACTCACATCCATGTCAGTCCCTGGCCAGGGAGCTCCAAGCTGGTGCGTACGTCTTCACAGCGTCAAAGCCAGCTGAGCTGAAGCTGAAGCTGTGGCCCAAAAAGCACCCCCCCGCATTCGTCTCCAACAAGACTCTAGTTGCCGACCTGGGATTTGGGCGCCCCCCCCCACTGTGCCAAGCCGGGACTCAATGAGGTCGTGTTGAACTCATGTGTAGCATCACCCACGTGGTGAAAGGGAGACTCAACATGTATTCTATAGGCCCCAAAAATACTGCCCTACATATAGGCTATAGGCCCCATATTAAGGCATCTAAGATGGCATCTATAGTCCCATATAGCGATCCGTCGTGGAAATGGCTCAATCTTTTTCACCTCGGGATCGCTGGCCTTCCAAGCCTCGAGTCCAAACTCCACGCACCGAATAGAGGCAATGGAGTCCGTGATGACAGGACATCAAAGCCAGGTTCAGCAAGCCCAAAAAGCCTAATGCATGGGCATGGGAGGGAGGCTGGTGCTTCTCGGAGATGGTGCTTCTGTCAGACGTGTACTTCTATTATAGAAGTGTTCAAAGCCTCGGAGGGTAGTAGTTCTAAGTGGATTGCGCCATCTTCTTTCCTTTGAGGCAAAACAAACACCCGACAAGAACGGGAGCCAAGCGGTTTAAGCTGTCGGCCTGCAACAAGGATGCTCAAGAAACATCTAATTAACTATTCTAATCAACAAAGGATTCTTCTTCTTTGGCTGGTGTCTTGTGAGTCTTGAGTCTTCTTTCCAAGATCTTCTTTTGCGCGTGTTGTGGCCCCACGTGGATGATGGTTGGAAGAATCTATTTTTGGGGGTGGGATGAGATGTAAAAGGTTCACCTAATCTTGTCATCAACCCAAGTAGAAGAGTTCACCCTAGACTTCCAAGACCATTAAACAATGATTGACCTGGTTTTTGCAGTGTAAAATCCTTAGTTGATTCGGGATTCAGCCTATTAAATGCATGGTTGTTGGAAGCCTAGGGTTCAGAAGCAAACCGGCCGGCCTGGAATCTTGTTGGAACCTCCGTGGTCGTGACCGAGTTCCGTTGTCGACATCCCGCGAGCCCCCGGGTGACAGCCATCGCTACATGTCTTCCAAGTGGCAACTCATGTCTTCCACCCACACCACACTTGAGAGCCAATAGCTCCTGCAGGCATGATCTTCTTCGTTTCTAGGCCCTACACCTGATGAAGAACTCAATAGAGTTCAATAGAGTAAAGAACATCTCAAGCCCAAGCTGATGATTCAGGTTGCAGGGCCCACCTTCCAGTACCTCCCATGGTCCAAAGACCTTTCTTCGTTGGGATCCTTTTAGAAACCAAATGGTCTAGCCGTGAATCGGCGGCGAGACTTGGGCAGTCGCCAGTGTCTAGAAATGGTCCAGGACGGGCGACCACCAGAGCACATCCACCAGAGCGGCATGGCTGAAATCTCTCCCAAAGATTTCTCAAAACCCACAGTCCCTGGTCTTCCACACTTGAAAGACCTTCACAGTTACAGCTTTCGCCCTATGAAACCAATGTCGAAAATGCAGACAGTGACACTGAAAGAAAGACCTTCACTTCAAAAAGACTCGTGCCTCACTCACTCACCCACCTTCTCGCCTATCCACAAGGCTCCAAACCGCCCTTCACGCCACAAGGCTCGACCGCCGAGGGGCATGGTGGCCAGGCTCAGCGTGAGACCCAAAGCCGTGGCTGCCACTTCGGCCACAGGGATGCGCTGCTGATCCAAGGTCTGATCGATGGAGGATGGAGGATGGGATGGAGGCAGGATGGGCCAAGAGGGACATATGGGAGGCTTTTTTTGGGGCTTGGTTGGTTGGTTGGTTGGTTGGTTGGTTGGTGGGTTGGTCGGTTGGTTTGTTTGTATAGAGCAAGTCATCCGCTGCGTGGTTCAGCCGTTCGAGGACAGATGCTTATGATTAGATGTTGCGCCAAGAGGAGTCTGGGGACGTTGTAGGGAGGATGAAGATGGTGATGACGGTCGTTTTAACTTAAGAATCTTGGAATTCTATTGGCTTTCATTGGCTTCACAGGGCCTGTTTAGGTTTGGTTTTCTTCCAAAACTCCGAGGGTTCACGAGTTCCTGCAGCCCGGCTGGGTGGGATGGAATCACCCAGGGAGCTGGATGGGCAGGCTGTCATGAAAGAAGGCAGAAGAGGAATGGACGCACACGTAAATAGGGATTGGACCTAGGGCACTCATGATCACACCTACTTCCACAAGGAAGTATGTCGGACCAAAGGACTAAAGACCAAAATGGTCCATGGGAAACATGACCAAGCACTCTAAGGTTTGTTCAAGTGCAAGGTGTATAGTATATGGACACTTCGCAGTAGCTCTCACTACCCAGTTATAGCATGATGACTTTTCATGTGAGGCGCGTGTTCAAGAGACTGCTCAATTGCTCGGTTGCTAAGAAAAACAGGTTGTCTGAAGGCAATAGAGCTATTTCTCAAGGATGGCATGTTGGGGCATGTTGGGGCTTAATCAGTAGATTTGCGATTTGCACACATGAAGCACCGTTCCCAGGCCCTCACCCCGACTGGCATCCTAACTGGCAAACGCCAGGAAGTTACGTTGGACACCAACAACATGCCTTCACCTCTGTGCGGACCCGGCACGAAGCAGCGCCGCAAGGTCGTTAACCCAGTATTGCAAAGAACATAGAACCCTGCGAGCCATTGGATCCTCGGGGCACCGAGTCCGCGCACGGTGACTGGGGATATCTCCAGGTCCGTCCAACCAAACCTGACCCCTCCAACGATCCAATGGTTCTGAAAACCTCAGAAAATAGGAGATGATGTGTGTTTTGTATGATGAACTATTATGCAGTACAAGGATGTACAAGGTAGAAGGATGAAAAGAAGGATGGAGATATGAGATATTCTATATACTATCCAAGTCGGGGACATGATTAATCTAATCAACAGTCAAACCATACGGTGTCGCCATATATTTCAGAACGCCGCTTCATTCTTCAGAACGTGGCTGCCCCTCGTGGCGGGCTGCCAGCTCCTCATTCAGGATCACTCACCCGTATATAGCCTGCAAAAGATCCTTTCCAGCTCGTGAGGGCATCCAACAATGATCCATCCATCGTCAGAAAGAAGGTTGCGGATCTGACGAACGGGCAAAGGATCCAGTGGAATTCCTGTTTTTTTCTCCTATCTCAGCTTCAAACTTCTCCAATGGGTGCAAACACCAAAACCCAGGCACGACACATGGGACTGCCAGCCAGGACTGCCGCCCCAGACAGACCCCCCAAACACACCAAGTCCGATGGCAGTCCCATTAGCCGTGTCTGGGAAAGTTCATTGGCGGTGTTGTCCCTTGAGGCTGCGGTCTTCGCCGAGGGGCCCCACCAGGAAGTCACGCACTGGATTGGGCAGCCGCAACAGGTCCTGCACCAAGCCACGTGCCCAGCCTGGCGAGGATCGTTTGCCCGGAGGATGACGGTCATGACTCGGGCAGCCCGAAGTGGTGGATGATGGTGACGGTGACGTGGGGGTACTTACAGATATACTTACACAGTTCATTCATGTGTCAAGACATGTCCGACGGTCAGATGGAGAGTGAGAAAAAACATCTGTATACTCCTGGTCAAGGAGACGACGCACATCCTGTATTGCAGTGCGATTCAGGGCTTCTGGCGCCCACAGGGTGCGCCGCAGGGCAAAACCGGATGGGCGGTGTGTGGATGGTTTGCCCAAGAAAACGCTGCACATGGAATGAACATGAAGGACATACTAAATGAACATGCCCCTAGGGCTCCAACTACCTCCTGAGAAGATGGTTGAGGTGGGTGCCAGGGGAAGGTCTAACCACCGAACCTGAGGATATGGGGCGTTCGGAGCCCTAGGGATGATACAACTAAATAGGACATACCACCTTCGAAGGACGGAGCATGAACTCGTCCCTGGCGTCGTTCGTGGTCACGCTTGGCGGTTCTTTCCAACGAACGCTCGGTTGGCGGTGATGTTCGTTCGATCTGGCCCTCTCAGGATCGGTCGAGAGAAACACGAAGAAACGGGCTTCGAGCGAGCTCGTGCCCCTGTACCAGGACCATCCGACCAGATGCTCGGGGTGCCCTGGCTGGACTACCAACTTATAGGATCCTATACCAGGACCTTCCAACAGGTGGTTTTTGGCCACCTCTTAACCTCTAAGAGGCTATTTATAGACACCTCTTGGAAGGTCCTGGTATAGGCCTATATATACAGGCTTCCAAACAGGGCACCCAGATGGTCCAGGTAGATGCGGAGTTGGAGACGGTGACAGGTGGATGTCCCGTGCCGGTTGGCTCTCAAAAGTCGCCCGTTGGTGACACGTCGACAGCACCTGTTGGACGGGCGGTCATGGGTCCATGTTCGACGATACGATGTTTTTCTTCCAGGTAGTTTAAAAGGAATCGTCGGGGTTTGGTGTGCAAACATGATCTGTTTTCTTCGGGGTCCGGTGGTTCGACGTGCCGCATCCAAAATGAGCTCTCAAAAAACAACAACGTTACACCTCCTGCAACTGGCTGACCTATATATATAAAAATGAAAATTGATTTATTGAATTCCATCCATTTACGATGTCCGATGGAACATGATGTCCGGTGTCCGACGCTCCAGGAGTTGAAAGCTCAAGCGCTGCCACATCAGGGGGAGCCGCCCTGGTCACGCGGGCGTCGTCGATGAACCGCCTAGGACGTTGTCGTTCTGCGGGACATAGCGGGAGAAGAAGTGGTTGCGGTCTCGGCTGAAGCCGATGATGCCTTGGAAAAACGATGCACCATCTGAGGTATCGGAAGCCACACACCTGAATCAACTCTGGAGTCGTAAGAACTCTTGCTTTTCCCTAGGGCTCCAGGTACCTTCTTAAGGTGTTTGGGGAGGGTTTAGAGGGTCCAGTCATGCCGAACCTGAGGAGGTACGACTGGAGCCCTAGGGTTTGTTCGGATTCCACATAGGTACTTGGACCCGACTCTGGCGCAGTCGAACACACCCCGCGGATAGTAGGGCAGTGGATCGGATGTGCATCCTGAAGTACCGGCGCCACAAGGAGCCACAAATGGGTGGAGACAAAGTGGAGACAAAGGGAACCTAAGGGGTTATTGATACTCAGTCACCCCCTTGGGGGAGTGTCCTAATTGTCCTATATATGTATTTCGTATATTTTCAATCTCTTCCTCAAACACTCACAGTGATGACCAGCGCTGGAAGGATCGCTGTTGCTTCTCCAATGCCGTGGATTTCTCGGGTTGTTCTCCACTTGGACGGGTCTTGGTGGTTCTCCACTTGGGGTCGTAGCACTAACCACTTGGTTGACTCCACCCTCAACGGACTCGCCAAGAGACACACGCAAAAGACCGGGATGATCAGCGCATGGTGCATCTCGGGAAGCCAAAGAATGCAGAAGTTCCTAGGCCCGGCCCGGCTCGGCGCCGAACACTCCAGCTAGTCTGAAAGTTCTGAAAGAACCCCCCAGTGACTGCGATGGCTTCTGCTTGCAAAGGTCCCCCAGTGACTGTGATCTTCACCGGTGGGAGAGAACGAAAGACGACGACCCATCTGTCTTCCCTTTTGGACGATCGCGCGGTAGTCTCGCGGAGATCCGCGACTTCGTCGTGGAGTGAAGCACTTGGGCAAAACTCAACTTCAAGTACCAGGTGATCACCACTTGAGGGTGAAGTAGCAGGTGGTGATCACCCCTGGTGAAGTGGCAGCTGGTGAACACCCAGCACCTTCCACTAAAAAAAAGATCACCACCTGCCACTTCAGTTTCCATTTCAGCCACCTGGAAATCTGGAAATCTGATTTCGTCGTTGGGTGTTGGTTAGGCATACGGTTCTTTTCACTGGGCGGCCCAGACCCATCAATTGGATCACCGAGATGGATGGGTCGCAACTGGTCTGGTCGCCTACTACTCCAGTGCCAGTCGCCAGTCTGCTGTGGGAAGTCGGTCTTCTGGACTTCCGAGACGAGTCCCAGCAGCGGTCCGAAAGTCTTTGGTCCGAAATGGGAAGGTGCAAAAGAAGAGCTTTTTCTTTTGTGCCTTGTTGGGAAAATCCGTTCAAACTACGGTGAAGTGGAGTGGAACCATGCAAAGTGCAAACACCGAAAAGGAATTTCATGTCTATCCAGATCTCTAGCAATCAAGGTAGGTGCTTCGTAGCATCATTCGCAGCGGTCGCAAACACACCGGCGGATTCATCGAAATCCATCGTCGAAGAGATGATAATCGATGCTGCGAAGCAAATGTTGGTTTGCCACAGAGCCACAGACTTCACCCGTGAGCCACAAACAGACCAGGAACAGACCTCATGAAAATGAAATATGAGTATGAGTTGATCATACAAGTTCACATTGACTCAAGGAGGTTCCAACAAAGGTTGAAGGACCCATAAGGTACCCAGTATAGAGTAATAGAAGGTCACCTGGGTCAGACTGGACCTGTGCAAACCCAAAGGGGAAGGCGGTCTGTTTCGCTCTCTGAGTGCTCATCAGTGGATCAACTCCGTCGTCGCTCCCCAGACCATCCGAACTGGAATACTTCGTTGCATGCTGCAGGTCATGTAACGTATTCCAGTGCCAGGGATATACGTTAGAGAGGTAGAAATTGACCTGAACGTTCGGACCCGTAACCTGGGGTACCCAACTGGGATAGTCGAACGTTCGGGTTCTGACCCACCTCTGTTGGTCTATGCTTCCCAACCACGCGCCCATCGAAGTTCTTCCCAACCCAGGCCGCTGGAGCCAGCCCATGCCGATGATCAGCTTGTGGATCACCTGGGTCCCAGATCCACAGACACACACGGTGCGCGGGGTCAACGGAGGAGCTTTTAGCTTGGCGCAAAAGGCATTCGTTACATGGGAGTGGTGGAGAATATGCCCAAGGTGCCCTGATATCAGCATTGTGTGGTTCAAGCGTTCATCCATGAAGAGTGATCAAGATGGGCCAAACTGGGTACACTTTTAAGGAGTCTTCACTTCAAATAGAAAGAAGGTGGTGAGTTCGCATGCCTAGTCCCCCAACCCCACATTGCTATCGCCTTGGCCACCCCAAAAAATAGACCTTCCCTCGACAAAACATAGACGATCATAGACGGCCACGATCTAATTGCAGTCAGTTCTTCTTCAGGATTGCTCCTAGCGGCAAGGCGGCAAGCCATGTTGTTTCCTCGACTCCGAAATGTTGGATCTCGTCATGGCATCAAATATCACTGTTTTGCAAACATAATAAACAGGTGCAACATGGTGCCACTCGCCATCTGCACAATCCCAAACCGCCCAAAGTTGTATCAATCAGTACAAAGCATGTTCTTCCTGGACACCAGGCAATTGAGATCCTTCATCACATCACTAAAGGGCTCGAAATGGGGAAGCATCCATTTCCGGGCTCCAGTCGTACCTCCTCAGAAGGTATTTCTTATTTCCTATGGATCCACATACCCAGAAAGTATTTGAGCCCTCCAAACTTCAAAACCTACATCAATAGTCTCCGTCTTCACCTTCTAAGGTTCGGTAATGTGGATCCATATTTGGACCCTCCTGACACCCGCCCTGTCTTCCTCCATCGGCTGCCGCCCGGTCACTCTCATCATCCGCTGATCGGCTGCCAGAACGCAGGGCACGGCGATGAGGACTGGGTGGACGTTCATGATGCCTTGATCTAAACAGCATGGGTGGGAGACTAGCGTCTTGGAGCGAAAAAGGATCTAGTACATTGACCATAGTGACCATGTACTCTAGTTGTTCCATGTTCCAAAGATGGTGATCCTCAGTGATCCTCTCTCATGTTCTTCCATCCTTGGCCTCCCAAAAAGCCCCGACCGACGGCATCGAGCCGAAGTCTGAGAACGGAGAAGATGGAGAAGCCATCTCCGACGTCGACCGTCCGGGAGGTTTGGACTGGCACAACATCTTTGGGTTGAAACGAGGATGTCTGGATTCCCCTCACCAGAGGAGCTTGAGGCTCCTGAGACAGACTCGAACCCAAAGAAACGCCCAAAAGGCTGTGCGTCACACCTCTCAGATCATGCATCGTCACACCATGTCACAGGTAGGTGTGACAGTATTTTTAGAAGTACATGGATAGATAGGAAATGCTAACATATTATGCATTTACAAAAATCCCTTCTGCCCATCGGCAGTTTTCTGAACCAGCCGAGCCACTCACGGTGACAGCCTTCATGGCAATCACTGGCAGGATGTAGCCCACCAGGAACCAGGGCAGCGTGACCCGGCCCATCCCTAGACTCTTCTGTACAAGCGCTTGGAGCCGCACGTGCGCCTGAGGTCGCTCCGATTCGGGCTTCGCGCCCGGTCGGGGTAGACGTTCGGCGTAGTAGACGTCGGGTCGATCGATGTTTCCCTTCGACGGAACGGGTCCGCATCGCGTCGCGCTCCGGTTGCGCCGCGGCGGTGCGGTCAGGTCTTTGGAAGAGAAGCCCAGCCCCTTCCGTGTAGGGTAGCTGCTGGTACAGATGATCCCATCTCATTCATGCTGCCCCCAAGACTCCATGGACCGGGTTCCAGAACACTACATAGACCGGCAATTTTGGGGGGTGTCAAGACGGTCGGTCTCCAGCCCTTCCCTGTTGGTATGCTTCAATTCTTGGAATGCTGGAATGAAAGGACCCTCAACTGCCTTAACTCATCTTGATGGGTTGAGAGTATTGGGTTGAGAGTGTCGGTTTAACTTCTGCAAGGGCAAGCTACAAATTTGCTACTTGGTATATATTTTGTGGTCGCCTTGGGAGGAAAAGAACAAGTTTGTTGATTCCTTTTTACACCTGGACCTTCTGATCGGCACATCTATCCATGATCTATTAATGTCCCACCTGTCCATTTGGGTCTCAACGCTTGACGCATCAGACGATGCATGGCCAATCGCGCATCACCAGCTTGTTTTTAGGCCCAAGGATCTCAAACCAGTTTGGCCAAAGATTCTGCTGGTGTGACAGGTCTTTAGGGGTCATATGGGGTCATGTGTACGAATTTATATAGCTGATTTGACTCTTCCATCAATCAGATTTCCTTCCCAGACGAGCTCAGCTCTTCTTCCCGCCGAAGTGACTGGTGGGTTGTCCGCATCCACACTGCGCGCAGGCGGTGGACGGCAAGCTGGCTAGAGGCTTTTGGTCCATTCTCCACATTCCCTAGAAGTCGAACCACCCATTCATTTTAAGCCTCTACTGAACAACCATGGTTTTACTTGAGGGTTTTACATGGCTTTACAGTCACACTACAACACCAGATCAACCATGTTTCAATTGGACTTCCAGGGCGATCTTCTAGGGACTGGTGTCACTGGTGCCGGCCAATCGTATGCCTGACAGGACGCATGTTGGTTTGTTCGGGTTTCCCGCGGCCAAAGCCGAAATCTTTAGAACACCCGCACCACACCCCAAGAAAAAAATGGTCTTTGGAGGTGCTTCTACTTGGCGCTGTCCCATCTCGTCCACAGATCCGTCCGCTCGCTCGCTCGCCTCCACCACCTGAGGCGGGCGCTACAGGCGCGAGGTCAGCGCGCGACCGACGCCAGACCGGTGGCCGTTGCGGTGAAATCCGAGGACTTGAACTAAAAGCTATATAGTTTAGCTAGAACCTACCAGACCAACATAGAACCTGCAAAATAGACCATGGGCAAAGCATGTTCTAAAATAGACCAGTGTTTTCTTGGTCTGTAATAGTCTGTAATGGACCAGTGTAGCTAAACTTGGCTAGGAGTCTGAAGCATCAGAATCTCGAAGTGCTATGAATTTCTTTAGTTGGGAAGTCTGACAATTTAGACTCTAGTTAGGACAACTGAGCTTTGACTTATTATCATACTTATCAGGACCAAGTGACCTAAATACACCTAAGTCAACATTTAATTATAGCCACTTACTGTATACATATGACATATATACATGTACTAGCTTTAAGAAAGATCACTAACCTCGATGGCGGTAGTCCAAAGCTAAAGCTTAAACCCCTCATAGAGATATGTATAGTCGAGTATAGAGGTTAGGGGAGCTCCTAAAAAAGGACTAGGAATGAGTATATAGGCAGTCTCTGGAACCCAACGTGTATTACAGAACTTTAGAGAATGAATCATATCCCAAACACTCCATGGGACTGGAATACATGCCGATCAGTTGACACCCCTGGCACCATCCCTGGCCTGATAATGTCTGATAGGCAGTCCTATGGAAGTCCCAGACAGACAGGTCGTACATGGACGTTTCTGTCTTCTCTGTGCTCTACGCTGTCCATCTCCGTCCATCCCACCGTCGCCGGTCCATCCCACCGAGCCGCTCATCCTCCACGTGCGTCTGGCGATACCCCGGAGCCCGGGGAACCTTCGGCACCGGACCCCGCAGCGCCAGGCACGCCGTGGGCTCCGCCGTGCGGCGCGCGGCCGGCGCGGCCGGCGGCGCCGTGGGCTCCATGCGGAGCAGGCGCGCCAGGGACGGAAAGGCCATGGCGCCGTTGGTTCCACGAAATGGCCCTTGGATCCCTGTGAACCGAGCGCGGTGGGGATCGAAAGTGAACCGAGCGAAGTTGAACGAGTCTCATTTTTTCGTGGCCAACAAGATCGAGTGACACTCCCCGAAACGAACCATGGTTACGGATAGCTATGGCCCCCTTTCTTTGGAAAAAACGGCCATGTTTCATCAATCCTAACAATCAATCCTAACATGAAAGCCTGGACCATCCAAGGGGTGCCCAATGGAAGTCTATATAGGTAGTGTGGGGTACTCCATTGGACACCCCGACAGGATGGTCCAGGTGAAAGGCTGTTGCACATCGTACTCCACTTCCGTCGTTCCGAGTGTCGTTTCAGGAGGACCCACAGGTCGAGTTTCGTCTCGGACCTCGACTTCAGGGATCCCTGGACCAGTCGGGCTCCGCGACCGTTTCGGTTCGGTGGGACGAACGGGGCGGGGGGGGGTGCCAGCCAGTCGGGTCAGGACTCATACCGAACCGGACCGGACGGACTGGAGGTCTATAGGATGTTGAAACGACCGACAAAAGCAGAAACGCCTCGGGAATGCATCGCGATTCATCTGACACGGATGGCAGGACCTGCTGCCCTGCTGCCCTGCTCGGAAGAGCGTTTACTCGCAGATGTCTCACCCGAAAGCGACCCTGAAATGAACTCCTATACCACTCCTACCTGAATTCAGGCCGGGGCATCCAATCTTCTGAAGCGTATACGGTGAGACCTTTTGGGGAGCAGCGATCGAACTCGACCTGCGATCGGACTCGACCTATGAAGGAGACCGAAGTCGGATGGAGACCTGCAGTCCCAATCCTAGTCTAGACGGCGGATCTGCGGGTACCTGGAGTCTCAGTTCGTACCACTGTTCTTTATGGGGTCATGTCCCAATTTCGAAGCTACGAACGAAGGTCCGGTCCAAGTAGATCAATCCCTCCACCTCACCAGAAACCGACCCCGCATGCATGGCGCCAGAGATCCCCGCCCTCGTTTTCCTCCGAACTTCGTCGCACTTCGGCTTCAGTCCCGGCCGGACCGGGGCCGTCTTCGGCGTCGGTGGCAGCGACCTGCGGAGCGAGGTGGCGGTCTGGCGATCGGGGGGGGGGGTTTGGCTCATGTTCTGTTTTGGTACCCAGACGCTCCGTTCACAGCCCTCCCTCAAAACCATCAGGGATTGGTTCGGGTCCAGACCCCTCCAGAGGATTCGGGTCCGACCCCTGCATATGAGGGTCCAGGGTCGCGTCTGGGTATTGTAGTTAAGTACAACATAGTACAACACACAGCATGAGCAAACGTCACTTGTCAGTCTTGAGGTCCCTTTCTTCCTTCGACTTCCGGAGTTTGGGGATCCACTTTCACCGGGAGTCAGCATCGCAGCCTGCTTGGACCACCCCGACATGTAGGTCTCCAAGTAGAGGCCCTGCATCTTCACCCTCGACCAACACCACCATCACTGGCCCAACACCGTCAACTGTTCGGATGTAAAAGGAGCCCTTCAGGGCAACACGTACGAGTCTGAAAGTACCGTACGGAAAGTGGGTTGTTTTTATGGTACAAGCACATGTATACAAGCACTTAGTTTTATTGGGGGTCTGCAGGGTCCCATTTTCTTATAAGGTCATATCGGAGACGCCCATGCAACGGTCAGACCTCGTCCTCGCGAAGTCAAGCGAGTCGGCCGAGTCTGCCGTGTAGGTCTCGCAAGATGAAAGCCATTTTTCGGTCCCTCCAAGTGTCCCTCGGACGCCTCTGTTACAAATGTTACAAGCTCATAAAGCGTCGCACCTGTCTCAAGATCGCGCGGCCGTGTGTCTTGCTCGAGCTTTGAACGTGGTTCATGGAAGACTTGAAGGAACCATTGACTGCACGTGGATGTGAAAACAGAGGTCTCCTCCCAGTTCGACCTTTTGGGGTCGGGAACATGGACCAACACCATGATGGATCTCCCTATGAAAACACACACCCATCGCCCATCGCTCTTAAGTTCAGAAGGCACCGGACGACCTGCCACGCCGAAGCCAAGGTCTCTGAAATGCCCACAGGAATGGGGGTCGTTCAACAAACCTCTTGTTCCACCAAACGTTCAATTTAGTACATGAATTTACATGATGAAAGCCGGATGATCATCTGTTCCAGGTCACCAATAGACTCTTAGACCAATATAGACTACACTACTTTTGGACCTTCCATTGGACACCCCTGGGATAATTCTGGTAGAATCGTTGGATATTGATGGTAAAGCAAGGGAGTGGCCCATGTACCACCCATGTACAAAACTTGAGTCTATACACCTATCATCAACCTGATTCGTTTTCTCAATCCTTCCACAACGTTCCACGACGTTCCACGACCAGCTGATCTTGTCGACAGGCCGAACCGTTGCGGCGAAGACCGTCCGTTGACGACTCTTCCGTTCCTTCCGGCGCGTCGACCGGGCGCTCGGCTTCAGGGTCCGTTGCGGGGAGGCGCACGCCGCAGCGGCGGGTCAAGTGGGGCCCTGACAGGAACATCTGGAAACTAGGATCCCTAGGCCTCCAAGTACCTTCTGAGAAGGTGTTTGGGGTGGGTTTGGAGGGTCTAAACACCTTCTGAGGAGCTACTTGGTGTAGGGGATGTGCCAACCAAAGGAAAAAAACTGGAAGAATCTCAGGGGCGACAACCAACACCTGAAAATACGGTTTCTTTCTCCATTGTTCGACACTTGTCCTCCACAACCCGGTTTTGAGAGACCGTTTTAATCTGCAGGAGGGACTGCATTGAGGTAGGCACAGGAACGGGGCCCATGTTCGATGCAAGAGAAATGGCTTGAACAACGGACCAAATGAGCGCTTGAGCCAAGGTCCAACACCAAAACCGAACCATGTTCATCATTCCCCATGGATCTCAAGCTTAAAGTTATCAAAGTCAAAAGCATGCAAATGCTAGTAAGGTGGAAAAATGAGTTAAACTCCCTCTCAAATCGCATACTCCCAAGAATTCACCAAGGGCTTCAGATCGTGCGAAACATTGTCAACCCCATGCTGGCCCCCCTACGCCAGGCGTAGGGCCCAGTGCTGGGTGCTCCCAGGGCATCATCTCATATCATCTCCCAGTGCCCAGTGCTGGACATCGTTCAGAACGCAGCACGACCAACCATCACGACCATTCGGAGTGCCAAAAACCCGTCCCACTGCCAAGTAGACGATCATCCCCTGGTTTATAGACTTTTAAGGAAAACACGGGAGACTCCACATTGGACGAACTCTATTGTATGACATGCATATATGACTCATGAAACCCTGAGTTTCACCCCATCTGATCGGCCTAATATGCCAGTCCAATTTGGTACTGGTTGAAGCTTGCTTCAATGGGATCAAAAGCCAAGATCACAAGCCGAGCGCATCGAAGCTCATTCTGAGCAGCTCGATATGAATTGGCGGAACGAAGCCCTAATTAAGGAATCCACGAACTTCGGCCTTCATAGATCTTCACCAGGCTTGAGACATACACAGGAGATTTTCTGGATATGTAGGGAGGCTTCATGAGAACCACATCAATTCAAAAACAAAAGCCCTGTTCCCAGAGACACTTGGATGAGAAGGGACTGTTGTGGGTTGCAGAAATCAGGGTTCTGAAGATTAATCTAGATTCATCCTCTTGTATAGTTGATGCAGGGCAAGGTTTAAAAAATCAGTAAGTCAGTTTGCTTGCGCTCCCCTTTTAGCATCAGGTCAGAAACACATTCAAAGGGCCAATGTTTCCTTCAAGAGTTTGTCGATGTAGTTGAAATTGGTGAGAGAATATGAAAGGCAAATATGAAGAGTTTGAAGTAATACACAACACAGAACTGTTTAAACAATTGCCTAAGAGATTGGTTAAAACAAATAGAAAACTAATAACACAAAACCCCAACATTGAAGACTATACAACTGCCATCAAAATTATTCACATCAGCGATGTGACAAAGTAGAAGGGAACTTAATGGGGTATATTGTGAGTTCAAAAGAGCTAAATGTGAACCCAAAATCATATGGGAGCTGGTGGCAACATTTCATCAATCACATTCAATTTCAACCATCGGACTTTGAACATCAGAAGTCAGAGTTTGATAAACTGTGTTGTAGATATTTGTTTTGAAAATAGTGATGTTGATACATTCAATAGAGTGAATGAAACAATGTTCAATTTCAATAAGGGGATGTTCAATCCTAACTACAAGTCCCTATCACAAGGATGATATGAAACTCTTTTCAATGCCACACACCATAGCACTAAGTGGATGTTTTGAATGCACAGGTGAGGTTTTAAATAAACACATAGAAATAGATATGAACAAGGCATACACACAAGGCACAATTGACACTGTCAGGATACCGGTGTTTTCTGAATTTGATATTTGGAAGAAGTTCGATTATCCAAGAAATGATGTCAACAAAATCCACTCCTTAACATTGTATTTAGTGAAGAGCAAGGTTAGGAACATATTTCTCAACAGAACCTATAATTTATTTATGGACAGTTTTTGAAGGAATATGCTGATGTTGTTGAAATCATTTTTTAAAAATGCAATCTAATACATACAAGGTCAACTACCAAAACCTGATTGATGGCTTGTATAGTTTAAAACTGGATGAGGATGAAGAGAAAGATAAGAAAAAGAAAGTAATTTCTCGTATCAACATTGGACTACTGGAAAACAAACTAATGTAGCCAAAAGGTCAATATCCTTTTCTAATAAGCTGATTGATGGCTTGTATAGTTTAAAACTGGATGAGGATGAAGAGAAAGATAAGAAAAAATGATTTCTTGTATCAACATTGGACTACTGGCAAAACAAACTAATGTAGCAAAACGATCAATAGCCTCTTCTAATACGGTTGATGCCTTTTACTATCAAGAAATATGTGAAATATAGCCACTGAATATATGAAGCAGGGTGAGGAGTGAGGAGAGAATTACGATTAGTGATGATGATTGCTTAATGGAGAGAGATGCAAAAGGCAATGACATTGAGATAGATCAGGGGGCA